TGTCAAATGGTTAAGGGCATTAACAATTGTGTGTGCCAAATGAATAATAAATTCTGGCAAGACCCGCCAAACGAGCAGCTAAGAATTTGGTTGTTCATCATTTCTCCTGTTTTGCAGGAATACTATCTGTCATCGCGCCCTGTATAGCGGGGCCTGTTACACCTACAAATGGCAGGTTTTAAGTTATTTTCCTTAAACCACAGAAACCAACTACTGCTCATGCTTGATATTTTGAAGGATCGTTTTATTAAAGACAAATGTAGCTAAACAAAGACTAAGACATCACTGGTATGCAATATGTACCTAGTTAAATGTAGCCTACATATTCCCAGTTATTACTGGCTTCCTTCTTTGTTTGACAAGAGAAATTATGTAACAAGACTCCGTAAGTATCTCTGTGCAATATATAATTGTACCTCTGTTATCTAGCTTCTACCACACTACATTCTACATGTTACACTTTATTTTATAAATGCTGCTGCTACTTTTCTACCCGAATGTGTACTTTGTAAATTGAAATAATCTTTATTATGAATGTGTTTTATTAATTGTAATAACAGTTGATTTTTCATTTAACATGTTATGCGAATTTCTTATCAATACCTCGTACACACTTACCAGACATTCGGTTGGCCTCATTGATCATAAATAACTAATTTAAATGGACAGCCTTTGCAAAGCCAAAACAAAATAAATAGTGCAAATATTGATGATAGCTGTCTCGGCAGCTAATGTGTATTAGCTTGACTATACATTAGCACAACCTGTATTTGGCACACATTTATTATTTTTAGACTGTATTTATCATTTATTATAACGCCACCATTTACCTAACGTGTCTGAATTAGTATAGTCCTATCGCTATCATGTTGGTTGATAAAACGCGCCACCAAAGTCCACTTACATATTTGACCATTTACTCGGTGTTTCTGGCATGGCGTATACGCAGGGTCGGCGTCATGGGGGGTCATTCGCGGGCCATGTAATTTCCATGTCAAAAAAGTCACAGTTTGTCGTAAAACTGTTGAAATATAAGACTATGAAAAATACGCAACTAGAAAGACTACAAATCCCAGAGTCGCGTAAGTGATGTCACAATTGTTTTCCTCCACTAAGAGATAGCTAAGATCAGCGCCATATAGATATAATCTATCTATATGGCGCTGGTTAAGATAAGATAACTTTAACAAGATGCCTGTGTGCTTAGTACCAGGTTGTTATCATAACAGCAATGGGTCTTGCTCGTTCTTTCGCTTCCCGTCTGATCAGGGTCGGCGTCATGGGGGGTCATTCGCGGGCCATGCCCCCCCAAATGAGTCACTGTGCCCCCAAAACGCAGGGTGGGCAAGCCTTGCCACTTTGCCGTTTTTTTTTTTTAATCATATCAGTAAAAACGTTTCCACTAAAGGTTTTTTGTGTGAAATACATCATAAATAAAGAATACAAATATAAAACACAGCCTGAGGTGTGCTCACTGCTGCTCTCTGATTGGTGTGTTGCTTGACCAATGACCCCCGACCTTTGTTTTGTTATCATTACGTGGCTGTGTGTTTAGATGAAAGCCCAGTGGTGATCTGTTCATCTGTTACACTGATTATACAGTAAAGCCATCGAAAATAATATGATATACAGTAGAGTACAAGTAGCCTACTTCTGGGTCTCTGTGTTTCATTCAAGCTCGGCTCTGTGTGTGTGTGGCACGAGCGCATTTTGTGAGTGCGGGAGTGGTAACGTGGAATGTTGTTGTTAGCATCTGGTTAGCTAGCTATGCTAACGGATATAAAGAGCTGTTTCTACACCAAGGTGGAGGAGAGTCCTCTCCTGTCAGACTGGGAGGATCGTATAACCTCAGCTCAGTGAGGTAAGGACTCTCTCAGTGTTTAGATAGTTAACTTGAGTGTAAGTTATCTCAGTGGGTCTCAAACGGTTTGGTCACCATTTATGTAAACAAGTATTTGCGAGGAATACCTTTATATGATCATTATAGTTATTAAAGAATAAGAGACTAAATGAAAAACGGGTATGAAATAGGCTACTATAGGACAGTAACACAAGAATACAGTTTAAAAGGGGAGTGATTAGTAAAATATCCATAAAGAAAAAGTTAATCTGTTTACAGTTCTGTTTCATATGGATGCTGAGAGATAGGCTATAGATCTCTTCATTTTGCTCTCAAAGTGCACCAGATTGATGCTTTTAACTTCAATATTTTAAAAATAATCTTCCCGGGGGAGCTTGCCCCACGGACCCTCCTAGAAGAGGTTAGGTCCCCCCCCACCTAAAACATGTTCACATGGATAGGATACTAAATACATTTGCACACTTTTCATATGGTGGCCTATGTCCATATGTTTCTGTTTTGGTGGTCGTGCCACAACCGTGCATGTATGCACAAGTCATAGTACGCTATACAATAGCACTACACCCCTGCAATGTGTGTGAAATACACTTTACAGCATTTTTTTTAATTGAAGTTGCGTTGGTGTTTGTGTGTTGGTTGTTGACGGCAGTATGTGCCCCCCCCCCCCATGATAAATGATTGCCCCCCCCATTCGATTTGTTCTGGAGCCGACCCTGCGTATACGTCGGGAAAACATGTTTTTTAACTGATTTGGCTCCATTATATGCAATAGAAGAACGTAACTGCACACAGATGTTTCGACATGGAACAATATATTTCCAAATGATATCTATGTTGCGATTAATTTGACGTTGTAAGCCTGCTCCGTCTACACATTGGTGTTAATTCATTACTAGTGGAACAGGACTCGATGTAAATCAAATACAACTATGCCTTTTTTGTGTGCTGAATGCATGCCGAAACGAAAAAAAGATTATGAGCATTTGTTTGAGGTCTATAGTAATGTCGTTTAAAGTGTGCCTTCTTGCCAATAATCATGACTACCTTAAATTGGTACATGTTTGTCTTGAGTTTGGCTAGGACCCAGCTAGCTAACGTTACAACTTTGCAGAGCACATCGCAGGCACCGTGTAAAGTCCTGCTTAATGAAGCGTCATCCTTTCCGATATAAATCTGTCCATAGCTATCAATAAAATAAATAATAACAAACCTGCACGAGCTGTCATGGCACGGGATGTGAGGTCTCATGAGCGTGATGACAACTGCTTCTCTGGTTTGTTTACTTCCCGTATCATGACGTATGTTAGAATGAAAAAAGCCTCCCCGTTGCTCCAAACCAACCGCAGTGCTTTAGAAACTCGAAAGATTAGGTTTAAAGATAAACAAAAGAAAAAATGTAACCTAAAATGATGACCTATGTCCGTTTAAAAAGATAAATGACAGATAGTTGTGTTGACATTCAACAACTACAGCTCCCATGATGCTTTGTTGGCGGCTGAGGTTCATGGGATATGTTGTTCAATGGTAAAAAAAAAAATTGTCATACACACACATCACTGTACAAGTCAGTTTTGAAAAAAACATCCGGTCATAAAGGCTTTTATCATATTTTACCAGCTTTGATAACCACATTAATGCATCCATAGGCTACATATAATATATTATTCTGAAATGGGCCAATTTGCATAATGAGTACTTTTACTTTTGGTACTTTACGTATATATTTGTGTACTTTTACTTGAGGAACATTTTGATTGCACGACTTTTACTTGTAACTGAGCCCCCTTGGTATGGCATTCAATAACTACCATGAAGAGTATAAAAGAATAAACCAGTCACATATGCAGAAAAAAAACTAAGACCTCTACCCTAATGGACCAAGCCTCTGATGATGATGCAGAAAATTAGGGATGAAGTCCCTAAACATTAATGATATGTTATACCTGCCGTGTGTAGAGCAGCATAAACTGATGAAGTTACATTTAAACTGTAAATATAAGGGAAAATAAGTATCCTGTAAGTCATAATGACAAACTATCTGAAATATGATGACAGCACGAGCTTCATTAGGCAAGGTGTCTGTCTCCGAGGCTTCAACTGGACTTGTATGTCTTATATCTATTTGCAAAAGTAAAAGAATGAGGAAATATTTGTATTAAAAGGGACAAAAGTCCTTTTGAATAAAATATTTCCTCGTTCTTTTACTTTTGTCACTTTTAATTTCCATAACAGTCGTTTTTCTGCCTGCATAAACTTTGAACACAAAACCATTTCAATGTCAGCTGCTTCTGTCTGGAAAATAAAACTTGGCTTCTTTTTTTCTTGCTTTTGCTTTTTTTCCTACAGCCTATAAAAACTGTTTATTTGCCATTCTCTGCTGACGGATTAAGATTAAGTTAGATGAGTGCTTTAATCTGGCAAAAATACTACACAGGTAAAAAGTTAAATCAATTTGAATGTATTATTTGTAATGGCAAAAAATGTTGCATTTTTAAGTTTAAATTAAGTTTCACATTTTTAGATACCAGTACATTTTCACTTTCAGGTCAGATATTAAGTGAAGATGGAGGAAATGAGGTATGCTAGTGACTAGTATACCCTCACTAATCTGATTTGTTCAGTGTGGTTGACTCTTGAGCCGGTGTGGGAACATTTTTCTGGAAGACCTGAGGAGCCACTCAGTCCCTCATTAGAATTGCGTTGTGTGGGATTTCACACATACCACGCGTCCGGGTTTTCCAGGCTTTTTATGGACGGAGAGACAAAGACTAGAAAGTTGAGTTTTAGCAGGGACTCAGTCATTTCTCCTCAGTCATGCATAGGCTTATGACAACCTACAAGACATTACCTTTGTCAAAGGTGAGTGGAACACAGAGATAGTCCTGTCTGAACTAGGAGAATTTCTCACCCATTTAAGATGATTTGCGTATGAGATGATCGGAGAAGAATCTAGAATTCTCTAAGAAAAAAACAGTTTCAAGTGAACACATTTACAGTACTACTATGAGATTTGTATCTAGTAATTGCTTTGACAGTACTTCCTGAACATTTATCCACTTAACTTGCAACATGTCGTCTTTGTTAGGCTTCCTCTAATAGTGTCAGTATCAGAAGGAAGAAGTGGAGTACAATTCTCAAGATGATCCCTCACATGGCACTGTGTAAATTATGTAAGTACTAATTAAACTGCTATTACATTACATTAATAGTGTATTGTATATATTTTACAAGTATTATTTGCCATGGATTTAATCATTGAATCTACATCTTGAAAGTGAGATATTTTGCCAAACAGGTGGATTATTGTGAAGGTGCAATAGGAATCAATGATTGGTCATACATCCGTAGTTCTGCTAGAGCTGTGCTGTGTGTTGTGTTTATGAGCTCAGGATTAAGGAAAGGAAACTGGAAGTTGGACGCTTTGTTTCTTTTTTCAGTGCAAGCTGTTAAATTCTGACTTTTACAGCATGGAAGTATTGTTCCATTTCTGAATTTGCCTCATGATTTTTGGAATTCACTTGAATTCACGGTTTATTGTTCCATCAGTTCCTCTGGTTCTCATCGGGCTTGTGGTGTTCGCTGTGAGTGGGATATTTGGAGACCCTATATATGAGTGCCTACAAGACACAGACTACAGTGAGCTTCTGGACATTGTGGATAAAGGCCTGCCTCCCACTAAGACACCTCGTCACATAGCAATCGTCGGCGGGGGCATCGCTGGACTGACTGCTGCAAAGATCTTAGAAGATGCCGGACATAAGGTAAAACAAAGACATTTTTCCGAGGGGATAGCCTGGTGATGATACCTGGAATATGGGTTGAGAAGATGTGTATTCAATAGTTGTTTATGTGGACCAAAAGGTGACCATAATAGAAGCCAGTAACCGTATTGGAGGACGTGTGGAGACCTTCAGGAATAATAGAGAGGGCTGGTATGCAGAAATTGGCGCCATGAGGATCCCCAGCTTTCATAAGTGAGTACAGTGATGACCGGGGCGTGTCTTACAACTGTCTGGCACGCCATAACTTGATAGTGACATATAAATGTTGAAGGCACTTTGTTTCATCAGCAAAAGACTTAACCCTAACCCACTATCCCCAACAATATAGATAACATATGTAATTCATATTTGCAATTACTCTCTGCTAAAGAAAAATATCAAGCAAGTGTCAACTATGATAAAGTTATACTTTACTTAAAAAAATATGTTATATTAAATGTTTGTATAATTTTTCTTTGAGTAACTTTTTTTATGGTTCAATTTAAGCCCACCACACAAAGGTTAAGTTCTCAAGAAGAACCTAATGTAGTACCTTACTCAAGTACACGTGTAATACTCATCATTTATACTTTGTCCTCGCTAAATCTCAAACTTCAAAATGAAATTATTTTTGAATTCACTAGATTTACTTAACATCTGTCAATATCTCATGTATGGTTATTTATAATTTCCTGACGGCTAATAAGTTGTTGATGAATGGATTCTGGTCTGGAATACGATGAATGGATAGACTTTATCATGACGTTTCTGTGCAACAACCTCTGAAAACCTTCTGTGAAATCCATGTTCCCCACAGTATACACGCATCCAATTAGAAGCTTTTAAAATGGCGGACAAATAACTATATGTTCTATGTACTTCATCTACAACTGATCTTGCCACAAAATAATAATGTTAAAATTGTCTTACAAGTACAACATATTTAATATGAAGTATCTATTCCCCAGAATCCTGCTTTCCTTTGTCTCCAAATTACAAATTTCACTTAACCCCTTCATCCAAGACGACATCAACACCTACTATTTGATCAATGGAGTGCTGCAGAAGACCACTACTGTGGAAAACAACCCTGGTGTGCTCAACTATAGCTTGAAAGAAAGTGAGAGGGGGAAGTCCGCTGCTCAACTCTTCAGTGAGACACTCTGGAAGGTTTGTACACATCCCAACCCTTAAAGTCATCGTTACTACCTTTGGACACATTTGTTTTTTTAATTGCACGACGACATTAATGTGTTTTTTTCACTATTTAAATCCGTGCATAGGTTAAGCATGACCTCAATGCCATTGGCTGCAGTGCCATGTTGGATAAATATGATTCCTACACAACAAAGGTAAAGATGATTCATTTTGACATTGTCACATATAACACAGTTTGAATCTGAATGAAAAATCACATGAGACATTTTCCATTGCTGACAGGAATATCTGGTGAAGGAGGGCAACCTGAGTCCTGGAGCCTTGAGGATGATCGGGGACATCCTGAATGAAAGCAGCCTCTTCTACACATCACTCATAGAGATGCTGTACATACAGTCCGACATCAATGACAACACTGAGTGAGAACTAATAATGTTACAGTTTTCAGACTTAGCATTGGCTCACCGGTGGTTGTTAGACGTAGTAGAGCATCTCAGCAGGAGCCGGAATAGCTTTTTTCAGGGTCCCTCAAGGATGCCATTTATATACTATCCCCTTTTAGGTATGAACTTGTAGTGTCATGGCCTGGCTCTTGGCCATAACAAAAAGCGTGGGAAGGACAAGAATATATATATATATAGGAAAAGGTGTTTATTTGGCAAAACTCAATGTGGCCAAAAAAACAAACAAAAGGGCAAGGCAAAAAAGAATAAGCGACGCTGCTCTCCGAGGTCCGGTCCTCTGGGGGGAGAGCGATCGAGGCTCTGGCATCTTAATCCTCCGGTGCCAGCCGTCAGGTGTCCTCAATCAGTGAATCAGGTGTCCTCAATCAGTGTGGGCACAAGCAGAGGAGGAACATAAAAGGGCCATACACACCACAGGAGACCTCAAAGCAGGGGTCGTCACAGTAGCTATACAATGAATTATCTTCTCAATATGCACCTCCCCTCTGCTTTTTACTGCTTTGCTTTATAGTGAGTTTAAGCTGATTGGAAATAAATGAACCAAACTAAACAGTAACAGCAAAAGTTAATAAACAATACAATGTGCTGGAATACAGAGGTGGGAGAAGTACTCAGATATTGAACTTGAGTAAAAGTAGAAGTACCAGAGTGTAGGAATACTCTGATACAAGTAAAAGTCCTGCTTTCAAAATGTTGCTCGAGTAAAAGTACAAAAGTATCAGCATCAAAATATACTTAACGCTTGTGTTGTGTTCAAAAGCTGTTACCGTTCACGGTGTTCGCGGGTCAATTTTGACCCAGGATTTATTTCAGTCCAAAACGCAAAAAAAGAATGACTATCATCCAATATTGTTTTAACTACATCATAACTAACTTATTATGCATTGTTTGTTTGTAGCCTTTATTTAACCAGGTGAAGCCCCTTGAGATCAAAAGATCTCTTTTTCAAGGGTGACCTGCAGCACATTAGTTACACATGTAACATAAAAACAACAGAACAACAATAAGGATGACATACAACATAAATTACAGGGTACAGTTTACAAACTCTATTTACAGTGACAGGTACCATGAGTATCAAACAGCATGTCATCCAGCCGAGTTTTAAAATGATGCAGGGGAACCAAAGTGCTCCGTTTTAAACATGTTTGCTGACTGTTCCATGTTAGTGGAGCTGCACAACTAAAAGCTTTCTTCCCTAAGACAGTCCTAGCACTTGACACATTTAATAAAACAACATCATGAGATCTCAGGCAATATGTACTTTCAATTCGTCGAGAGATCAGAGAGCAGATATAAGATGGTAGTTTATCCAACATGGCTTTGGATGAACATGTACCAATGACTGAGTCTCCGTACATTAAGTGATGGCAGACCTGCCTTGGCATACAGGGTACAGTGATGTGTAAGTGCTTTACAGTTAGTAACAAATCTCAGAGCACTGTGATAGGCGGCATCTAACTTTTCCAGGCATTGGGCAGGTGCATTCATATAGATCATTTATAACCGTACAATCCTGTTGTAATTGTATTGTATTGTATGGACCCAAAACACATTACACCACATTATTGCACACGTGCATGTGTGTGTTCAGGTTCAAGTGTTAGTGTACATATTCTTTGAGAAAGGTTGAGTTCCCGTGGGGGGAGGGGGGCGGAGGGAGGGGAGACCAGGTGCATGTTGCGAAAAATTATTGTTACAGTGGATGAAGGGGGCGGGGGCTGGGGTGTCTAAAGTCAAAGATGAATCTTGATTGGGTCAAATTTGACCCCGGGTCACCAACAACAATGCTGCCGGGTCTTCCCAGACCCGAACACCAAAATATACACTTTTTTTTAGAGACCTTCAGACTTGGCTAAAATGGTCAACATCAGTTTATATCAGTGTTTATATAGCTGTTGTGGAGGGTATCATGAAGCCTTGTTCCGATAAAAAAAACTAGAGCGTAGGTCAGGCTTGGAATTTCGTCATTTTAGGGGCAAGGCCATTTGGCCTTCCCGTTCACATTTTTTTTAAGGGCACAAAGGCCACATGACAGGGCACAAAGGCCGTTTGGTTAAATTACGCTGGTCAATCAACATGACTGAAAAGGGTAGCACTAACGTCAACACCAGTCGTTTTACAAATGGCTGAATAGCAATAGTGTTTCTTAAACGTATACGTTAAGTTCCGCCATAAACCACATCAGTCAGTCATGTATTATATCAAAACCGCTTAGCAAGAAAAATACTAGATTCAAAGGTGACAGCTATCTGCTAGCTTGTAGAAGCAACACTAGATGTAGACCCCTTGAAGGGAAGACGTTAGCGCTATCCAAACTAGCTAGCTATCGCTAGTTTTCATGACAAAATGTAACGAGTCAACTTTAAATAGGCTAATACAATGGTAATTACCTATCAATAGTACTTTCTATAAACACGTAAATGTTAAGTCCTTTCAAATACTACCACATACTTCAGTTAAATCATATCAAAACAGCTTGGTCCGCTTGCTTACCTGTGCTTGTCTTGCTCCCGCGGCTGAGGAGGAGGAGGCTGTCGGGCCCCTTCAGGCATTTCTGACGGAACAATGACAGCAGAGCAATCGCTCTGATCCACAGGCACGGGCATAGCCGCGGGAAGTAGGGGTGCTGTTGGCGAGTGGTGTACATTTGAAAAACTGAGTGACCACCTAAATACAAATGATTAAACTACATAAAATAGTTATGATTGTACTTAAAATAAAATTAGCTGTATACAGTAGCATATAATAGTCATAGTATATATTTGTATATATCAGGTGGCTTGAATTTATTTTCCAAATAAGTAAAATCCGAGTCATCTAGGTCGTAGGTCTTGGGAGAGTGACGTAATTGACGCGACACACACACTGCAGAGTGACAACTTTCGCAAAAAAGGATTTTGGATTTTTTTCTCCAACAAACAACCCAATAAAAAGAGTGGACCACCAGCTACTCCTCAGCCCACCACCTCTACAACTAGAGTAATATATATATAAATTATCCATTATCTCATTACATTTGCGCATATTTTAACACATTTCAGGAACCGAAATCTGAACTTTGGATAAAGCCAGGTTCAACATTTTCGTTTCATTTTGTAGTCATATTAGCATCTAAGGCTTTCACCTAAGGGCTTTTGGATATCTCTCTTTATCACTCCATAAATCAGAAAATATTGTCAACAGCCCTAAAATATCAGTTTTCGCCATGTTTCTAGGTATACAATCTTATATAATTCAGGCTATGAATGATATATGAACAAACCCTTCTGTAAAAGCCTCCATAATATTGATAGGAATATAACTGGATGGTTTGGTGTATGTACGTGCAACTGAAGTGGACATTTCGGACTCAGAGTAGGAGAAAAAACTCATTTTGAGAAAACGAACTTTAAAGATTGCAGTGAGGCGCTAGCTAAACCCTCTGTTCTTTGGATGACAGCTTGCACATCGACGCACTCCGTGAAGGTATTTCATGTTCGGGGTCATTTGTGTTTTGTATAACCTTGCTTCGTGCAAGTGACAATTGTTGTTGTCTTCTCTGTGAATGTTTTTTTCGCCGTTCTTTTGCCATTTTGAGATTTACATTTCTAGCGGAAAGCTAACCAGGAAGTGTTTTAGCACACCACGTGATGCATCTGAACGAATCACGTTGTCAGAAATTGACACCAGCCAATGAGATTTCGTTTCTTGGTTTAAGACCCTTTTGTGCTTTCACGATTGGTTGCTGATACAAAGGAAATGACCATATTTGGATCCGATGAGATCATTGTGCAGGAGAGACGGAGCTTTTCCAACGATGACATTGTGCAAACAGTGATCGCGGTACTTTATGTTACGTTAGAAATGCTAACTTTTGGTGAATTTAGGAGAAATATACAGATGCAAACAGACAAACTATAGTAAAATGAACACTTAAATATGTATTTTGTACGTTTTCCTTCCAAAAGCCTGAAAGAAAACATGTTATGGAATCAAAATAGCACAACATCTCAAAATTGACCAGTGCATGAAAAACGATGTTTTTGCCTGCCGTGTCTCGCCTTTAACAAACAATTTATGCGGCTCGTATCGCTGACAGCCGGGCCTGGCCCGGCCTTTTTTTTTTTAAACGGCTCCATCCCCACTTTTGGCAGCATCCCCTGAGCAAAATGACTTCCCGCAGCTATGGGCACGGGACTATCCTACTGCGCGCACTAGTATGACTTCACTAGCGTTGTTTACACTGGAACTTTTGACAGGGGCACAAAGGCCACTTTGGCCGTGAATTACATTTTTTTTCACAGGGCATCACGGCCAAAGTGCGGCCATGGCCGTCGTGGCCGTCGTGAAATTCCCACCCGGGCGTAGGTATTATATCATTTTAACTTCAAACGGGTCACGGGAGACCCGAACACAACATAAGGGAGGACCAAAAGTAAAAGTACATATTGGTCCATTTCAGAATAATATATATTAAGGTTTTGATTATAATGATTGATCATTAAAGTGTTCTCAAAGCTGGTAAAGGGGCAGCTAGTTTGAATGACTGTATACTGCATGTAGCTTGTGAATGTACTCCAGGTGGAACTAAAGTCTGATTTAAGTGGTGAATATCTCTCAAATCATTGATCAAAATCTGCAAAGTAACTAAAGGTGTTTTTTTTACATTTACTGCAGTAAAAGTACTCGATTGACCTCTGAGTTGTATAGGAGCAGAAGTACAAAGTTGCATGAAATGGAAATACTCAAGTAAAGCACAAGTATCTCAAAATGTTACTTAAGTACAGTACTTGAGTAAATCTACTTAGTTACTTCTCTCCTCTGCTTGAGTAAGCTATAATTTCCCCCAGACCTGAGGACACCTGTAGAATCAGGTGATAACTTTCTGTGAGTTGTCATTATGAGGGCATTTCATGAATTAAAATATGTGTTATTGCAGCTTTAATGATGAACTGTGATTAAACATATTTATATTTCCCAGGTACTTTGAAGTGACAGGTGGTTTTGAACACCTGCCGCAGGCTTTCCAACGGGTGTTAAATGCCACGGTCCTGCTGAACTCCAAGGTCAATCTGATCAATCAAACAGGCAGCAGTAACGTGACAGTAACGTACCAGGAACGGGGCAACACAGGTTCCCTGATCAGCATGACAGCGGACTATGTCCTGGTTACCACCACAGCCAAGGCTGCCATCTTCATTGACTTCCAGCCGCCTCTCTCCGGGGACAAGACGGAGGCCCTGCGCTTGATTCATTACATCAGCTCCACCAAGGTGGTCCTCAGCTTCAGGGAGCGCTTCTGGGAGAAAGAGGGTATCAGAGGAGGGAGGAGTGTCACGGACCGGCCTTCTCGCTTCATCTTCTACCCCAGCCACAGCTTCCCCGGCACCGCCGCAGGGGCCCTCCTGGCGTCCTACACCTGCTCCGACGACTCCACCCTCTTCCAAGGGATGAGCGAGAAGAATCTCATGGCTGTGGTCTTGGAAGACCTGGTGAAGATCCACGGAGAGGACATCAGGCCTCTGTGGACAGGGGGACTGGTGAAGAAGTGGGGCTTGGATCCTTACAGTTTGGGAGCCTTCGCCTTTTTCACACCCTACCAGAGACACTACACCAGAGAACTGTTCCAGAGTGAGGGCCGCGTGCACTTTGCAGGAGAACACACAGCCGCGCCGCATGGCTGGATAGAGACTGCCATGAAGTCTGCAATCAGGGCAGCTAGAAATATCAATGGCCTAACAGTTTAGTTTTATGTGTAGCATATATTTAGCTTACATTTCTTCCTTAATGATCAATCTTATAGGATGTGCCTGTTGTGTTGGTTAAGCAGTATAACTTGTAAACACTGATGTATAAGTGTGTATCCACCTGATATGATGTCAGGTACATTTGAGGTACATCTTTTGATCAGCAGTATAAGGTCTTTCTATTGGCAAGTCCAACATTTGCATGAATACGGTTAAATTGTTATCCTGTATAAGGCTTTAGACTGCAACTAACGGAACGTGGTGGAACTAAATGTTTAGTGGTGAATGTTCGGGATTTGAAACAAAACTACTTAGTTAGATTGAAGCAGGTTTCGAAATATAGCATGGTGTTGGTTAAAATATGTTCTTTGGGTCCCTTAAGTTATGTATATGTTAAGTTTATTATATTATCTAATAATAATAATAACAATGGCTGAGTTTGGTGGGGCTTTACTAATGCATGGTCTATGTGTTTTAGAGAATATTTAATCATTTGATTACTGAATTAGAGCTGAAAGTTAACTCTGTTTTCAGTCAACTTTTAAATTGTCTAACTCAAATATGAAAGTAAAAAAAGTCAGTGAAATTTTCAATTTTCCCCGGTAACAAAGTTTTAAATGCACAAAAATCAAAGAGCAGATGTTTGGCATGTTGTTTGAACGGTGACTCAAGGATTCATTTGTTTATTTATTTTCTAATTAGTTGAAATAGCTACATTTGCATTTGTTCTGGAAAACCTTAACAATAATACATGTTGTTTCTGTAACAATTTGTTTTAAATGTTTTATTTCATTTAAGCTACTTTGTATACTGTATTTCAGTTATTCATAATTTTACTTTAGGCTGAAGAAATTAAAACGTTTTTTTTAATAAAGTACTTTACATGTAAATAAAATGTGCTTTGAGAAAATGTGTAAATATCCAAGATAAAGCGGATGACTTCTGAGATATCTTATAGGTATAACATATGACAGACTCCCATTGTGTAGATCAGGGGTGCCCACATATGGTGAGCTACTTTTGAAATGACCAGCTCACCGAGGTCTACCAACCAAAAATAAAATCCCAAATTGCAAGGGTTGCTGAATAACACGTTTTATTTATACATGGGATAATAGGGCTGCAACAAACGACTAATTTGATAATCGATTAATCTATCGATTAATGAAACGATTAATCGACTATTCGGACTATTACTGTATGCCTTGCACAATTTCTCAAACGCTCTTATTTATCCATCAACTTTTAGATTTAGCTTGAGGTTGTTTTAGGCATGTGGAAACTAACAATGAAGACAATAAAGATGAATACTTGATTCAAAAATACATATATTATTAAATTAACTAAACAAATTGTTTACAAAATTAACATTGCTTTTTATTTAAATTAAATAAATAATATTTCACATAAAAAGAAACAACAATGTTTTAACAAATCGTATTAAATAATCTGACAGAACTGTAAACAGAATAGCTGAAACTTTAACAAAATAAATAACTCAGTTACCTCTAATCATTAACCCATGTTTGTATAATGGAGTTAACTCCGTGTGTTGCTGCTAGCATACATAACACCTGACGTGGAAACGTTACTCGCTACAGAGCTACTAGAAAGACAGTGGAACCCGGTGCATTCCTCCGTCTGAATGTGGAGCACTTTTGCTAAATGTTTAGACAAATTGCTCGTGTTACCGCCCTTACATGCTAAACACTCTTGGCAACGAGCATTGTCCGCCTCAAGACGGCGGGTAACATTTAACCACACCTTGGAGCGCTTCTCTCCGCCATCCCCGCCGTGTGTTGCTGCATGTAGCAGCTAGTGATGTGTCGGTCGCGAACGAGCCGGCTCAAAGAGCCGGCTCTTTTAAGTGAACGACGGGAGCCGGCTCTTGCCCGGGAACGAGCCGTTTTTTTTGTTTTTTTTTGCGGAGGGATCTAGATCGGCTTGAAGGCACATTATGCAATGTGCACTGTGAACATTATCCCGCTTATTACATGGCCACATTCTCAACAAAGTAACGACATGACTCCCAATATTAATTTAAATGCTTTTATGGATTTAGAAAATGATTTTATTGATTTAAAAAATAGTTTTATGTATTGATTTAAATTGACATGCATCCGCTAAGAAAAGTAGTCCGTTGTTACTGTTTGAACTAACGTAGCAACGGCAGGAACTGCTTCGATAGTGTTTTTGAGGAGCTTTTGATTACAGATTTGAAAACATTGTTGCTTGCTTTAAAAGTAGCACAATTCATGATGTCAAACCTTGGAAAGTATCTAGATATCCCTGCCCTAATGCCAAAGTAACTGGCAACTGAATATGTGTCGCCGTTTGATGTCTATGTCTGGGCCGCTGCGTAAAAAGGAGGGTTTCTGCCCCATTACTTCTCTTCTTACTTCGATAAGAATAAAACACGGAGGACGTCGGAGATCTCTTTTTCTCCCCCTCTTCTGACAGCCCAGCAGCTGATCTCAAAGCACGCTCCCCTCTCCTACAGGGGGGCGTGGTCAGCTGCAGCTCACAGAATCAGCCCTCTGCAAAAACAGCGCTGGAAAGAGCAAATAGAGCGAAATGAGGCATGGCTAAAATGCAGGATCTTTTATATAGGTCGATACAGTAGCCCCTTTTTTTAAATAGTTTTTATAGGTGTTGCTATCTGTTTTGTGTAGCGTGGTTCTACAAGCAAGTCAATGCATTCATTGGGTGGTATCGGAGAGTTACACGGGTCTGTAAATGCAATTGGCCACAGCAAATCATTTATATTAAACATGTAATTTTTACTTTTGAATACTTCAGTACAAAGGTTGTATAGTGATATATGTGTACACATATAATTAGTCAAAACAGGGCTACATTTGATTTAATTAAAAGGTATAATATGTGGTAAACTGAAGAGCCGTTTGGGAGCCGAAAGAGCCGGCTCTTCTTGGTGAGCCGAGCCAAATGATCCGGCTCACCAAGAAGAGCCGGAATTCCCATCACTAGTAGCAGCTGCGTGTGCAGTGTTGCCAACTCCATAGTAAGGAAAGTAGCTATTGGCTGTCCTGAAAAGTCGCCAGAAGTCGCTAAATGACGTCATCACCTAATTTGCATATCATGTAATGGCGGCTGTAGGCAAAAAACGTTCCCAACCCTTCAAGGATCAAAACTTGAAACCACCGGAGTTAAATCCAGACGACAGTAGATCAGAAATGTCTTTGCCTTTTGAGTATGTTTTGGGGTTTTAACATGACAGTTTGGCATAGAAATATCCCTTACAATAAAGGCAGTATGCCCATGTGTCATCTCCAATAAATGGCTTCAACCATCCTTTATACTCAGGGTTTGATTCCCACTCCTTTCTGTATTTTTGAGAATACAATTTAGACTGTGCCATGATGTTTAGCTTGTCACAGAGAGGCACACACACACAGTGGACGAGGTGATTGAGTGACTGAGGCTGTGTGCAGGAGCGGCGGGTGCTGTAGGCTAGGGAAGGCTAAGCCTTCCCAAATATTTATGTAACTGCATCCTGGTAAAATAAAAATATAATGTCTTTGACATTAGCACTGCTATGCAGCCACCTGTGCCCTGTACCACGAAGCCAGTTCAACAGACCCTGGATATGCTTGAGTTATCTTAACTAACCCTAACAAACGCGATCTCGCTAAACGGTCCTACGGCGCTGGTTATCAACTCGGTAAATCAAGCCAGGGTTTCTCTCGCCAGCTGAGAACGCGTTCACGTGAAAGGGGCGGGGTTAGCTACATTTGACCAATCACAAACAGGGACAAGTGTACTGACAGCGCAGTGTCATACTTCATTAATGAAAAGGAAACTAATATTAGACAAATATGAACTTTAAACATCCATGATGACTTAAACATATAATCCAGGATACAAGCCACATAGTTGCACCTGCAAGGAGAATACAGAACAACTCGTTAAAAAATAAACTACCGAGTGTTTGAAAGCGTACAACAGTTTTATGATACTGCCCCATCTAAAACACGAGGGGATCTGACTTTATTACATTTGAGTTGAGTGTTTCGTCAACTTAATGTGTTGCTTAAAATAATATGTCTGCATACAGTATATGTGACAATGTAACTAAGTGTTGCACGGCCAGATACGGCTCGAGAAGCTGACTCAGATAAGGAAATATTGTGATATCGATGTGAGATCGATGATCTGATTGATGATGTGATGTCAGTGTGATATGAATGATAAGTGTGACACGTCGGCGTCTTCTCTGCATACGGCAGTTTAAACTGCATTTCCCTTTTCCTGTAATATGACTTGATAGATTTAAACTCCGCACACTGAGCTCTGATCGGTCAGCAGGCGGTGCTTTCACTGAGTTGATCTCTTTTCTATAGACGCCGGAGGCGGGCAGCGTAAGATGAAAAAAAAGTTATTTAGCCTTCCCAAACCTGAGCCTCACGCGCCGCCTATGGCTGTATGAGGCAAAGCAAAGCAAAGGCAGTTATTTATTATAGTGTGAAAGTGAGTGAAGAAACATTTACATTCAACATTTAAATCCCGCTCAAAACCAGGACGGCTTGGCAGTTGGCGCATGCGCAATTCATTTGCAGTCTCGACGCGGGGGAGTGTGGTTGTCTCCTCTCTGCTCTGACTGCAGCAGCAGCTCTGCTGCGGCCAGGCAACTGTCAGTCTGAGCGCCTGTGAGTACTATGGGAGGGAGGCGGGGCTCACGGCAGCACCCGCGGCTCGTTAACTGCAGAATAATATGTGAGTCTCCAAACACCAGAAAAGTCGCTAATAACACCATTATAAATCGCTAGATTAGTCGTTAGTCGCTTTTGACACAAATAAGTCGCCGGAGGGTTTGGAAATCCGCCAAATTTAACGAGAAAATCGCCAAGTTGGCAACACTGTGCGTGTGTGTAAACTGCCCCGCCCCCCTCGCACACAGACGGGGGAGAGAGAGATCTCGTCTGGATCGGAAAGATCGAAAATACACCGACCATAGATGCATTTGTTTTGTCTTTTTGCATGTTAGAAACGAGTTGGCGACACTAAGACTGCGAGATAATGTTTGTGTAGCAATAATACATGACCTTTCTCTTTCTCAACTCGCTACTCGGAGGGAAGTCGCTGTCATATGCCTTGTGAACACTCAGTGTGCGAAAAAGTACACGTCCCACCGTCCGGGACGTGTTATTTACAATATCGGACAAGTAGATCTGTCAATTGACTTGTCCGGCGGACAAGTGACGTTTATTGACAAATTATTGATACATTCAGTTTACAAATGGCAGAACTCATTCGCAAATTGTACGTGTCCGCCAATGTTCGTTTAGACATGTTAGTTTCGGTTCTGCTTGTCGATTCCTAACGAAATGCATCTCGCGCTTTCTGTACAGTTACGGCCCCTACACACGGCGGCGTGCGTTACCGCTTGGCGGTGGGCGTGTCTGAAGCTTGGGGATTTTTTACGAACAACGCGACCAACAACCAATCACATGAATCTCCCGCCCCGGACATACAAAGCAAAGCATTCACGCTACATCCATGCTGGCTAAATATACTGTCTATGCTTGCTAGCTGTCCATTCAAACAAAGTACACTGGATATAAACTCCCCAAACAGGCGAAAACCTACCAGTTTCACCCACTGTCTCTGCCACCTCCCCCATGCCTGGCTCCTACGGTTTGTATCCCTGTATGTAAAGAGGGACTGGTCATATAGTACCGGGTGATTCCCTAACGCCACGATAATTTCCTCCTCCATTTTTTGACATGGGAAATAACTGCGGTCTGGCTGAGGCGGCAAAAGTAGAACATTGCTCTACTTTTGCGCAGCTCTCTCATATGCTCCGTATCAGCTGATCGCTGCACGGTGCAGCTCAGTGTCTCTCTCTCTCTTTCTACACACAGCGGATCCGCTGCCCGTTTAACAGCCTCATCTTTGTCAAACTTTCTTATGTTCTTTCTCTAACACGTAATGAAGGTTATTAATCGTTTTAGCTCCTGTGTTGTTAATATTGACCGCCATTTCCTTTATGAAGTAAAGCAGCCTCCCTGTCTGTGTCCTCGCGCTGTCCTCACATCCCCGGACCCCCAGACTCGGAGCCGCGCAGGGATGTCAGTATTGTTTATGAAGCAGGGTATAGAAAGTAGCTACATTATTGAAATGAAAATACTATTTATTTACTTTTACAAACAGTGAGCAGCTGGGCAGCTGCAGCATGTGTATTGCAGGACATGTGTAAGAGTGCAAGCGTCTTTGAGTTGTAGAAAAGCGCTAGGCCTATAGGCTATACATATAATGTATTATTATTATTATTAGGTTATGTCCTATGTGTTGGACATGTGTGGTTGGACTTTGTCTCACAGGCAGGTTGCAGTGTAACATCAGAGGACACTGGGCCAATTGTACATTCTCAAACTGCACCACTTAGAACTAACTAAACAATGCAGAGATTATTTTTATATAATTGTATTCAATAACCGTAAGAAATTAAACAGTATGAAGTGATTTGTAAATAGGAATACAGATTTGACTTAATGTTTTCATAAATATATTTTTCTCCCAGTTTGACTTATTTTTACCCTCTCAAAGAACCGGAATCGAGAACCGAAAATAACCGGAATCGAAAAGCAGAACCAGAATCGTTAAAATCCAAACGATACCCAACCCTATGTGTGATGCAGTAAAATCTTACCGCTCACTTACGTTAGCGGTGTCGTAAAAACCGTGGGAAAATGTAAAATACGATGACGAAGAAGAAGATTCCAGTGGCCCCAATTTTTGTCCATTCTGGACAAGTGAACAATGTATTCGGACAAGTAAATTGCCAAACTCACTTGTCCATGGACAAGTACTCTCTAAAAACTTTTTCTCACACTGACACTCCGATAATACCTCTCCACGTTACCTTTCTTTGGCAGAGCGACGCTTTCTTTACAAATAAGGCAAATAACCTTTGAATGTGACATCACAAACAAATATTCTTCCTCCCATTCTGGGTGGAAGTGGTATGTTTTTAGCTTTTTGCTCGGTCCCGCACTCATTTTGTTGTTTGTCTCTTTGAGTTTTGAGTTTGAGTCTTCTTCTTCTTCTTCTTCTTCTTCTTCTTCTTCTTCTTCTTCTTCTTCTTCTTCTTCTTCTTCTTCTTCTTCTTCTTCTTCTTCTTCTTCTTCTTCTTCTTCTTCTTCTTCTTCTTCTTCTTCTTCTTCTTCTTCTTCTTCTTCTTCTTTAGTGTTTATTGGCGGTTGGCAAACCAACTTGTAGGTGCATTACCGCCACCAACTGGACTGGAGTGTGGACAAGAGACTATGCAGAAAACAAGAAACAAAATAAACAAAACAAAGAACCAAAACTCTAGATTATTTTAAATGTATCAATTTCTCTTAGAAACGTAATAATCTCACAATATATATTGCCTGATTTTTTCCCCTAACAGCCCTGATAGCGACAAGTCATGGAATTTTGCTTTCTTGAGTGTCTGGAAAAGCACATTTCTCTGAGTACTATATTTCCTGCAAAGCAGTAAAACATGCTCAACAGTTTCTGGCTGGCTACAGTGTGTACACTTTCCGGTTGGATGCTTTCCTATTATACTTAATGTATGATTGAGACCTGTATGATCTATTCTCATCCGAGAAATGACATTTTCCTCCCTTCTTTTAAACCCCACCTTCCTTCCATCCCCCACATATCTTTGAATTTTATAAAGATGTCTTCCTGTATCACTAAGGTCCCAATGTTCTTGCCATGTTGTTTGTGCATATTTCTGTATGCATGTTTTAACCTCCGCTTTGCTGAGTGGAACTTCTATGTCTATGTTCATAATTCTGAGTGTTTGTTTGGCCAGAATATCCACCTGTTCATTATCCTCCACACCAACATGAGCAGGAACCCAGATGAAACGAGTTGCTATGCCTTTGTTTTGCATTTTATATAAAATTAGAAATATTTCATTTATTATGTCCATTCTAAATGAAGATCTGCCAGATCGTATACTTGATAATGCTGAAAAGCTGTCAGATGCAATTATACTATTATGTATTTATTTCTCTTCTATCCATTTCAATGCCAACACCAATGCCAACAACTCTGTGGTGTATACTGACACATGGTCTGTTACCCTTTTCTTTATATGTGTATTACTCACTGGGATATAAACTGCTGCCCCTGCACGCCCTGTCTCTGGATCTTTGGAACCATCTGTAAATATGATTGTTGAGTCTGAGAGTGATATCTTGCAAAAATAATTCTGGACTATGCGCTATACTGGTAGTTCTTTCTTTTCCTTTAACTCCTCTCGTATATTGAGGTCTACACTTGGCAATGGGAACAACCAGGGTGGAATGGACGAGATTGGAACTGTGGGGCAATACTGTCTTTGATTCAAACCTATACTTGCTGCTTTATCGCCAATCCATCCAAAACTTGTTAAATGTGACTCATTGTGCTCCCAGCAATCTTTCAAGATACTTTTCGCAGGATGACTATCACTATGCCCCTGAAGGTTTACCCAGTATGCCAACATTAACTTCACTCTTCTTATCCTTAAAGGCATTTCTCCCATTTCCACCTGTATTGCTGATACTGGAGATGTTTTAAAAGCTCCACTACATATTCTCAGGGCCTGAGCTTGTAGGACATCCAGCTTTTTAAGGTTTGATTCTGCTGCTGCCATGAAAGCTACACACCCATAATGAAATACAGGTCTCATGAGTGCGTTTGAGTTTTCCCGGCACTTGACTGATTTTGTATCGCTTTGCATTCTGGGTTAACAGACTGGAAAGCGATAGGTCGCTTTTTCTGTCAATCAAGTAAACTCCTGAATTAAGTGACAGGGAGGCCAAGGGAGGAGGGATCAAAACCTGTTTTGCCTATTCTAACGGAACTGGATTTTATTTTTTTATGAATGACTCGCGATCTACCAGCATTACTGGGCACCTCTTTTATAGGTTACCATCATGGAAACGTATGAACAGACTATTGATTAGATATTAGATCGATTTCATGAAGGCTTCAGATAAAAAAACAAGTTGTGTAAATTCATACAGAAATGGTTTTCTACTGAATGAATACACTTAAAGATCTGCTCAAATGGTACTTACGTTTTTTGTTTTGTGCCAACACGTTTCTAACCCACTGTGTTGTTAAGATGCATGACACGGGCACTTTGTCAACCCTAAGAGGGTAGAACACTAACATAAGGGTACAAAACAAACTGTGTAATGCTTAGCTATTTAACACATGCATTAATGTGTATCATAACTTACTGTTGCTAAATGTGAGTAATTATATACTGTGTTTTATGATTTTAGATGAAGTTTTATTGCAACAATAACAAAGCCATATGACATAACTTCAGTAAATCAATATTTGGCATTCTCTTAACAGTAAATCTAACAAAGCAGACGTCTAATGCACAAGTACTGCAGCAACAAGAGATTCTAGACTGCATACTGTTGGGTACTTTTCATATCATACTGGCCCATGTTGTTTTTCTTTGTATTATAAAGCATTGTATACTTTACTGTATTAATTAGCAACATGTATTTATAGTTGTATTCTGTCAGGGTAACTCCAACATGGAATATTCATGAATGCCTTGATGCGTTTCACAATTTATTTATCATTTAATAAACATGTATATGAAAACAATGTTGTTGTGGGTGTCTATTTATGAAAAAAGAAAAACATCTCATACGTGTCATCTCCTTGTACAATGATATTACTTTTGCTCCTCTGAAGTGAAAAATCCAACTTGACACTGAACCAAGATCTGTTAACAGTTTCGATTGGGACACTGAAATCTGTTCCATTTTGTTAATGACATAAGGATCATAAACATTTGACTAATGTCACACGACATGACCTCATTTCAAACAGGTACATCTTGCAGCTACAGCCATTCAGAGTTTCCATGTAATCTTCCAGAAGCAGCATTCGAAAGAATATGCAGTAAAAAACATGTCTTCTTCACATTATCTTCCATAAGAATGTTTGGAACACTAAATATTTTATTGATGTCATTAGACAGTCCGACTGGCATCGTAAGTCCATTATTAATGAGCACCCTTCTGCACCATCTGTGTGAAGCGGTTGGTGATGGTCAGGGTGGTGTCGATGAATCGCTCCACACAGCTCACCAGGCACGTCTCCGTCCGGTTGTCTAGCTTGGAGCCCGGACTGTCCACACACTTGTCCCAGCAGACGTCAGTGAAGGTGTGCACCTGAAAGAAATATAAAAAAGTAGTTCAACAGCTGATATGAACTATAAGGGGGGCAGCTGTGGCTCAGGGGAGGGTCTACCAATCGGAGGTTCAGTGGTTCGATCCCCATAGCCTTCAGTCAACATGTCAAAGTGACCTCAGTCAAGACAAATAACCCCAAATTGCTCCCTTAGGCATGGCTACGTGTATGCAGATAAAAAAGACTTCAGAAGGATGGTCTTGTTGTGTATCATCACTACTTTGAACAGCACTTAAGGCAGGGGTCGGCAACCCACGGCATGCGGCCCTTTAAGCCCTCTGCTCTGGCTCCCTTGAGCTTAGACAAAAATAAGAAGGAAATAAAATAAAAGTATTTGTTGGACTATTTATATTTTGTTGCATGGTTGAAAATGTTTCGTATCTTGTATTTTGAGGTGATACTGTGACACATAAATAAAAAACAAAACGGTTTTAATTAGGTCAACTAAAATATGCGTCACACCCTGCTACGGTCCCGCGCGAACGCCTTTTCTTGGAGGCGAATAACCTGACCCCCGGCTCAATGAGCGAACTATGGATCAATCAAAGAAAAGTACCGGAGGAACACAGGATTTAATTCTGTGTGGACAGAGTTATCTGCTTTCACAGCAAACGATGCTGGTTTACCGGTATGTCTGATATGTAGAGAGAAGTTGTCAACGGTGGTGCAGCCTTTACGTATCGAGGAACAACAAGGGAGAGGAAGACAGCTGACGATCTTCAGTCATAATTCAATGGGGTATGTAATTTATTTCAGAAAACCCTTTTTGTTATATTCCATGGAATGCTCTTAACGTCCCGATAGCAATGAATATATTAAATGCTTTGACAATAAATACATACAAAAAGTAATCTCTGGAAGCCTTAGCGCTGTAAAAAGCACGACCAATCATCTGAGGCTAAAATAACTGGATGGCCTACCTGCCTGTCAGCCTTCAATCTGTGCACAAACTTATCTCGTGCCCTCATTGGTCATGTGCGCGTTCGTGTGTGTTGGAGGAGGGGCTCTGTAAGAAAGTCTGAAGGAAGAGGCATATTTTTTCCGGTTGTGTATTTTCAAATTCTAGCGCACTCGAGCTGGTTTCTCCATTCTTACCTACCTTTAACTCTTTTACGGTGCAGCTATATGTTTTATTTATTTCAAAGTGGGCCCATTTTAATAATATTTGTTGTTCCTTGTGCAGAGGAGGGTCACCCTCCAAGTGCTGTGTTTAATTTATTTTAAAGTAGGCCTGTGTATTATTTGTAATTCTCCTTATAAGAGTTATTTGTTTCTTATTAGAGGTTAACAGTTTTATATCATGTAATAAATAGCCTAATAAATGCAAAAAAACTGTAGTTTTTGTCTGATATAACAATAAAAAACTATGAAATATGTTTTGCGGCTCCAGACAAAAAAATGTTGGGAAAAAGGAGTAAAATGGCTCCAGTGTTTCCCATACATTGATTTATTTGTGGCGGACCGCCACAATTAAATATGGTCCGCCACAAATGGATCTCATAAAAAAATATATATATATTATTATTCTTTTTTTTTTTTTTTATTCTTTTTGGTGGTGGTCTAATACAGTGGTTCTCAACTGGTCAGGCCTCGGGATCCACTTTTTCCTTAGTCAATAGATCGCGACCCGAAATGTTGAACCACTCAAATCTATTCAACAAAAAATTCTGCAGTAATATATACGCTTTGCCGTATACAATGTTAATTAAAGTGAAGTACAGTGCATATATCCCTTCACAGAACAAAATAATGCTTTTAAATAAGGTTTAATGAGATGATGGAATCAAAGCTGAACTGTACAACATAAAAAGGCACACGTGCTGAAAACCCAACCCCAGAAGGGGGGTCTGGGGGGATTCTCCCCCAGGAGATTTTTTGAAATACTAACAAACTACCCATTCTGTTACACTCTGAGAACAAAATAAATAGATGTATTACGACATATTAATAATATTGTATGCCATTGTTTTTTTTTTTCACTCACCCACTCGAAACGGGTCCGCGACCCACTTTTGGGTCGCGACCCACCAGTTGAGAACCACTGGTCTAATAGATAGTGAGGTGGGCTGATGATCGGAAGGTTGCGAGTTCAAATACTGCCTGGAACACCACTTGCCCTTGAGTAAGGCACTTAGCCCTCGGTTACTCTAGGGAGAATGTCCCTGTAGTTGGTCATTGTAAGTCGCTTTGGAATAAGTCGTCTGCTAAATGCCTGAATTGCAAATTATATTTTTGGGAGAATAAACCCCACAGATCCTCAACTCCGGTGTGTTTCACTCATTAACAACGCAACACAGAGCAACAAGAACGTTGTATACAGTAGCCATTAACTCGCATGTATTATCTTATTTGAGGGGGGGTGGATGCGTGGGCCACCCGAATAGGTTAAGGGGCCTTTGGCTTTTCTTTTTTTGTGCGGTGCCCCCACAAATAGAATCAAATTCTGTGGGAAACACTGGGCTCTTTTGGTCAAAAAGGTTGCAGACCCCTGACTTAAGGCATCAAGAAGACATCCATCGTTATGGCAGACCAGATTTTTTACTGGGTCATTATTATTATTATTTGTTAAAGGGGGGCTTAACACCTAGCCCGTATGAAACAAGCTCTGGTGTGTTTGCCTTTTTGGTGAATTCTTTGAGCTATGTAAATATATAAAAATAGCTATTACATAAGGTATCAAAAAAAGATAATTTTAGAATAGTCTTAATGTGTGGGATATGGTTTAAGCAGGGATAATTCAGATATATACTAATTTAGGGGTATTTTACAGTTGTTCACACTTTCCCAGACTTATAACTGTTTTAGCACATTTATATGCATTTTCTGAAGTTAAGTCAAACAGCAAAATTAGGCTATGCTGGCTCTTTGATTGGGTGTCTATGGGATTAATAACATAATCATGATCCAATAGGCATTCAGGAAAGGAGTACTAAGTCATAAGAAACAACATAGCCTACTTAGAAAGGCTGCTGTTGTAAATCACTTGATAATGTAACAATGTAATGTATATTCAGTCACATTCACAGCAGACATGTTCTTACTGTGGTCCTTACAGTAGCTTTACAATTGTGTTAGCCGTTCATTCATTCGTTCGCACATGTCAAACTGAATTTCAAAACTCTATTACTCTAGTCATTTTGAAATGATATTATCTTTAATATTTGACACTTGCTAAGCGGTGGGACCCGAATAAAGGAAACCTTGAATTGTAATACGTGTTAAGATTAGTACTTTTCCTAACAGAGAGTTGCCCTGCTGCATGTGGACTGGCCTCCCCGTCACAGATGAACTGGAGATGTGTTAGCATGGTTAGCATACACACCTGGGCCTGGAACTGCGCCTTCTGCTGCTCTATCGCGATCATACGCTGCAGCTCCGCCGCCTCGGCTTTGTCCGACGAACTGAAATTTTCAAAATTGTCCATTGCGTTTTCAAATAGTTACAGGACGAGTCTGTATTCCTGTTGACAAGAAGCTTCTGAGATGAGGTGACCTTCGGTTTCACCGCAAGTGAGCACTGCTGCGTGTCTGACACCACTGATCTACAAACCGTGGGATGCGCTACACAGAGTGGCGCCTGTTCTCTGAGTCATTTGTAAATCAGCGTGCAAAATCAGCAGGAAGTGACGCATGCAAAGATGTTTTATAACGAACAGGATCCACCTCTGAAGAAAGAAACTGTGACCAGAAGCATTTTCAATCAACCTACTCCTTCACAGATTTTTCATTCGGTTAAATTCTTTACAAATTAGACCAATTATACTGGGGCCAGTTATTTTATGAGAGGGGCACAATAAATGCGAGTTAAAAATACAAAGACAGTATAAAGTAATTGCGTAAAATGAACATAAAATACAGTAATTTGTATTTGATTCTATACAGTTATCTATTTCAGTAACTTTAAGTTAAAGTTCTTTGTTTCAGTAAAGACATTGTTTCAGTAGCTATATTTTTTATTTACAGTATTTGTTTTAGTAACTTTAAGTTACTAAACTTAAAGTGTACCGCTCTAAGGGGTCCGACTAGAATGCTGAGTTAGCACTATAGCAAATAAATCGTAATATTGTGAACCTGTCACTTGGAGAGGGGCCACAGGTCAGGGTTAGGGGCCCCTGTACATATCTCACAAGCAACCTTTAGAATTTCGAATATTTGTCATTACTTTATTTGAATCATTTATATTTTTCCAATGGGTGCTCACTTGTTGTATACTCGATATATATTGTATCGAAGTTGGAGATAAAAAGAGTCAACTCAAAAGCGTTGTGATGCTCAGTCCATGTCAGACAACACCTTTGAGGTAATGCAGAGCCTCTCTTTGCGCATGGATGAATACACTTCTAGGTAGGATTTAATGAATGTATTTACATGAGAAATTGTATTATGACTTACTATATTTGATTGTATTGTTTTATTGTATTTGTATTGTCTTTTCTGTTGTATCTTAATTCACTTTTTTATATTTATATTTTACACTCTATCTTGTCATTTCATTATTTTCCGGTAATTTTATTGTTTACAATGTTGTTGTTTGTTTTGGTAAAGTCCACTGAGACAGACGTGTTTTGTGATATTGGGCTATATAAATAAACTTTGATTTGAGTCAATATTATAAATGAATGCATTTATAAAACCAAACAGAAACCAATATTAAAAAAACACATTGTAGAAATTAAGTCGGTGGATAATTACATTTATTTCACTTTCTTTTTCATCATTATTTGAACTTGTTTTGTTTTTTGTGCTTGACAGGATTTCAAACGTAAACCTAATTTTGTAGTTTTGCACAGAGCGGACTGTATTTACACCCCTTTAAACCATTATATCATATGAGACTTTTGGGATTATGTAAACCATAATCAGATTGTAGGGCCTAAAGACTAAGTTTGATTTGAATGAGGGGCCCCAGTGCTGCATGATCTTCTGAAAAAAGGACGTATCCATGATCTCCTCAGTCCTCTAACATCTTTGTCCTGGCGACTCAACAACTACATCCGGGTAACTGTGGTGACCTTGGTTGGTTAATCATCATGGCGGCTATTGTCAGGTTGAGTTCTGTGTTTCGCAGAGGAGTCAAACGTGAGTACTTCTGCCTGTTTTCACTGTGTCTGTCTTTTTTTAAACATATATGCTTACTATAGGGTAGTAGTCTGATAGCAGGGCGATTTGACAGACGGGAGGTCGAACAGTAGCTATGTACGAACACATCATGTCTGGCTAATATTGTTACTTTCAAGTCAAGCCATAAGTTACAAAGCACGCCTTTATTGTAATGTTAAGTATATTCTTCTCCACATCACTGGTTAGCGCCAGTTATTGGCTATGACAATGTCTTAAACAGTATTGTGCACTGAGGGGGAATTGAAGACCATGATGACATCAGATGTCCATGACGTTATTACGCAGACCTGCACGCCAAACCCTACTTAAAGTTGTACTAACTATAAGTTAACACGCTTATTGATCCACTTACATACAAGGTAAAACTTTCCGATAAACCTTTGATAAGATAACACGACTCTGTTTTCAATTCGGCATATATAAGATAAACAAAAAAGCTTTGAGTATATTACTTATTCTACATAAGTAAAAGTTCATCTGAGGTTAAGACTGCTCGCCACCACCCTCCTTGGACTGTCTAGTTACCAAGTGTGAACATTTTTTTTTTTTGGAAGCCAGTTTTTACCACGTTCTGTGTTTTATTTTTATTTGAACCTATCTCTAATGGAAACACATTGACAAACATTATTTCAGAAACTTAAAGCAAACATTTTATAACTATAGTTTGGACCCTAAATCAGTTGTAATGCTGCTAGAGTGACTGGGTGAAAAAATGGGTGGAAGTCAGAACAAAATTAGGTTAATATAATAATTTATTTAACATGGATGTACATGATTTACTAATTTTTGTTGGCAGATTTTTTCCGGTTGTGTATTTTCAAATTCGAACGCACTCGAGCTGGTTTCTCCAAAATGACCTACCCCACCTTTAAGGGACCCAAAGAACATACTTATTTTAACCAAAACCATGCTATATTTCGAAACCTGCTTCAATCTAACCAAGTAGTTTTGTTTAATTTGTTCATTATTCTAGTAAATGGACAGAACAGTTAATTATGTTATAATAGTTGTTTTTATCTTAAAAGATGTGTTGTGTGCTGAGCTGAAATGCATTAAATTAAATACTTTATAGCTGTGTATCATGTGGTATGTGGTTAGATTTCCATATTTTTGTCCATTTGATAAAATAAAAAAAAGTTGTGGTCTTTTCTCTTCAGCTCTGTTCTACCAAGGCACTCTGTTGGCCAGGCCGCTGGTAGTACCACACAACTACCAGGAACAGCCCCACCAGCTGACAGCAAGGATCCATGCATCACAGGCTCTGAACGGTCAGTGTTGACAGATGGATATATGCAGTGAAACATAAAGAATAGACCTGGAGTTTAATACACAACTGAGGTAAACCTCGTTATATATCGCAAACCAATAACATCAAATTAGTACTGGTTTTCTGCGATTCATCACATTGGAATGCGCAAAATTCAATAATGAATTCAAAAGTAGTATTTTTTTGTAAATCTCAACTGCAACATGAATTAATGTAATCAAATCCAATATAAAACCAAAGTTATTTGCCACTGCCAGGGCATTAACATTTTATCTAGTTTGTTTTAGAGAAACAAGTTACCCTCAGAGTCCAGTGGTAATACAATTAAACTTTCAGTGGTTACAAAAAACTCTGGTCCTATCAACTCCGCCGTCTGGATAAGATTTAAAATGTCCATGTAAGAGTTCGGTACCTTTCTCCATTTTCACCATGATCGGGTTCATGTGAGCGCTGCAGCAGTCTAAGGCCCGCCCCAAATGCTCTCATTGGTTGAGACACGTGATGACGCCCATCCAAGCCAATACTGATCCAGGGATGCAAACTTGTCACCTTTCGGCGAAATTCGCCGTTTTGAATCCAAAATAGGTCATTTGTGTGATTCATGTAGATCTGCAATAAAATATTTTTGGGGTATGGGGGGGGTCTGGGACCCGGAGTAATCTGCGGCCGCGAGCTGTTATGTGCCATCATGACACGCATGGTGTTCTTTTTTTATATATTATAATGCAGCACGAGCTGTGTGCTCGAGTCTTCCTGCCTGTCGGCTCTGCTCATGGATGTATAATAAGGCTCTACTGCTCCGCGAAGATGGTCTAGCTTCAGCAGCTACATTACCTACGGGTGCGTTCGTTAATATTAACTGTGTGGTCCGGAGTCACTGTGGCACAGACTGGACCGCTGGTGAACAGCTGTTAGAATGGGCCGTTCAGGTGTTCAGAGCAGAGCTCCCTGTCGGAGCGGCAGAGCGTGATGTGAACTGAAAAATGTTTCTGTCGCAATATTATTTAAGGAATCGTTGAGCTAGCTAGCTAGCATACATTGTCACTATCTGTTAACGTTAGCTTTAGCCTTTGTTTTCTAATAGTTTTTTTTTTTCATAGGCTATAAACGGAGGTGGTATAAGTAGCCTATAGATATTGTACTTGAGTAAAAGTAGAAGTACTCAGATCTTGTACTAGAGTAAAAGTAGAAGTACTCAGATCTTGTACTAGAGTAAAAGTAGAAGTACTCAGATCTTGTACTTCAGTAAAAGTAGAAGTACCAGAGTGTAGGAATACTCTGTTACAGTAAAAGTCCTGCATTCAAAATGTTCCTCAAGTAAAAGCAAAAAAGTATTCTCATCCAAATATAGTGAAAGTAGCGACAGTAAAAGTAGTCGTTGTGCAGATTGGTCCATTTCAGAATAATATATGATATGTTTTATAATGATTGATCATGAAAGTGTTCTCAAAGCTGGTGAAGGTGCAGCTAGTTTGAATGGCTTTGTATACTGCAGGGTAGCTGGTGGATTTACTCCAGGTGGAACTAAAGTCTGATTTAACACTTGATTATATTTACCATCATTCATCCACATCTGTGAAGTAACTGAAGGTATTAAATACATGTAGTGGAGTAGAAGTACACCATGTACCTCTGAACTGTAGTGGAGTAGAAGAACAAAGTAGCAAAATATTTAAATACTTAAATAAAGTACAAGTATCTCAAAATTGTACCCACGTATAGTACTTGTTGAGTTTATGATCTTAGTTACTTAACACCAGTGGCTATAAAGATAGAAAGACTAAGCCTTGCAGAGGCATGACAATACATTTTCAAAATGCTCAACAGTGCTGCCAGAATGATAAACTGACTGCTACACAATTAAAATAAATGCTTTTATATATTTCTATTAGATGTGACTCTTTGGCGTTTCTGTTATTATTACCTGCTGCTTTAGTTGTTCTGACTGCTAACATCCTGTTATTCCTCATTTTAAAGCCGATATTCCGTGGGGTCGGGGGCTCGGATCCTTGTCACCTTTTTCATACCTGATGAGTTTGCATCCCTGTGATCAAAATCCCACCCCTCCTGTGACCCATGGTTTGTCTGTATGTGTATTCAGAGCCAGTGAGCAACGGACTTTCAAAATAATAATAGCAATAAAAATAAAACTGTTAATGCGCGGAATTTTCTTTTTGAATGAATCATGCGATAATAACAACACGTTAACTTGCCCAGCCCTACATCAAATAAACAGAAATGACCACTTGTTGAATCGAAACCAGTGCCACTGTTTCGTGAACAAGCTAACGCCATCACCTGCACTTTGTCAACCTTGTAAATGAGAATTCATTTAACCAAGTAATGCTTTGTCCAAAGGTTATGTGATCAAATGGTCAGAGTCAAGCACATTATGATACATGCAGAGAATGGACCAATATTAATACCACTGAACAAGTAAAGGTGTCTAACTTGTGTCAAATGAAATCATTTTGATACTTCTCTTCATCCTTTTTATTACATTTTATTTGAATGTGTTGCTTTTCTGTAGAGCAGGGGTCATCATCTACCTGTGTCAAAGGGCCAGAATTTAACAAATACTCACTATAGGTTGGACGTTCAAATGATTAAGACATTTTTTATTTATGCCTAGCTAAGCTCTAATTGTTCAATATTTTAATGTATTACGAAACTTAAGTTATTTTTTTAGGAACAGACTCTTTAAAAAAAAGTGTGACATCAATAATGATTACATTTTTGACATTAAAAGTGCTCTGCGCACTGAGGAATGTGATGACTAAAATGTATAATTAACAAAATGTAATTACACAGTTCACTCCTTAACTGTAGGTTGTGCTGGTTTAAACAAAGCAGGTACAACAGACTGACTAAAATGCACATGGAACACGTAGCAGGGCACCATATGTATTCATTTAGTATTTTCTGTGATTCAGGGTGGATGTGGCACTCGGCCCAGTTGACGACCACTGCTTAATAGTGATGTGTTTATGTCTCTCTAAACTAGCACGGTGCAGGTTTTCTGGTTTGACCATAGACTATATATAAAAGGTTTGACCTGAAAGCAGGTGGCTGACGGCCTTTCTGATGTAGCTCTGGTGTTTTGTGGTTCATTTATAGCTCCCTAAATACTCGAGTGGTGGCTGTAATCTGACACCTGGTTCATGCAAGGACTGATTATTGCTAACCGGTTTTACCGCTCTGACCCACTATTCGGGTTAGGAGGTCAGAGAAATCCATCTGTCAAATACCAAAGTGTTGCTCGGCTTCGCCCGATTCTTAATCGTGTTTACCAAGACTTTGTTCATTTAATACACCAGGCTTATTTTAAGGAAATACATTTTTTAAATTGGGTTGATAACTTCTTTACACTAGATACTGAAGTGTTATTGAAACGTTAAAGGAAATGGCTATCGTGTGTCATATAGGCACGAGCATCCCTACATTTTTTGAATTCAGAACACTACAATTGTTACCAAGTTGTTACAACACTTTTTGAAGACTATCCAAAAATGTGTTTGCAGCATCAAGAATCAAAAAGTGTCAAGTGTCACGTTCTTTGGATTATGTGCTTTGATATAAACTACACCAACAAATATAATATAATAAGTTTCTTTGGTACACTCCTTCTACTGTTTTTACCTTTTGGCCACAGATACTGAGGTCTGCTGTTTGTTTCCCTCTACAGCGGGCTCTGGCTCCAAAGCCGCCTCTCTGCACTGGACAGGAGAGCGAGTGGTGAGCATCCTGCTGCTGGCCCTGGGACCCGCAGCCTATTTCAGCCCCTGTCCTGCCGTCGACTACTCCCTGGCTGCTGCCCTGACCCTGCATGGACACTGGTGAGACAGGCAAACACTAACCCAAACCTTGGTGGCATTATTTGTGAGGATGAAAGTTGGCAATTGCTCTCATTAATAACCATATTGCAGTTTTAAAACCGTCAAAGTTTTGTCCTAAAGTGTAACGTATTGAATAGAACACCATACTCTCCATTTCTAACTAAGCCCCCGATAAGTGAGCCAGGTGTTGAAGCACATTTTTGTAGTGGCCAAACGTTGGAACTCAATGAGCCCTTATTTAAATAATACGGTCCTTAAAGTCTTAAAAATGTGCTAAATGCCAAATTGAGTTATTTTTCTTCATTCATTTATTTGACTGTGCCAAGATTGGGCGTGAAGCAGCGGCTCGGAGGCGGGCTTAATTTTGTTATTATTATTTAAATTCTGTTCTATTTTATCTTATTTTTTACCTTGTGTGAATCATGTTTTTCACTCTGACCCTGTTGCTGCTATAAACGCTTGAATTTCCCCACGGGGATAAATAAAGTTCCATCTTATCTCATTAAGGATAAGATGGACGAGAGAGCACGCTCTATGGCCTTCAGAATATCCAGGGAAGATTCCATCAACATCCCAGCATTTTGGTTCTCGAGAGTCGAGACGTGTTGGCTTCATGCACCACTGATTCTTTAAGAAGTATCTACTTCTCTAAACTTTGAAATGACATAGTTTCACTTCCTGCTGACTTGGCAATTACACACCAAAGATCAGGTTTGGCCAGTCTTGTATATCTCTGTAAATTGCTCTATTGACAGCCTGTTACCAACTTATTAGGTGCAAACATCCTACTTTCATGAAGATTATAAAGTTTAGTTTTTGGTAATACATTTTAAAGTAGGGCTGCTCAATTAATCGTATTTTAATCGCAATTACGATTATGGCTTGCAACGATTACGAAAACAACGTAATCTAAATAAAACGATTATTTTTTCATTATTATTATTAAATAATAATAAAAAATAAATTCTCCAATAAATTGATGTTTTCAAAGTAAATGGATAATCGTGATATCAATTATTGACCCAAATAATGGAGATTATGATTTTTGCCATAATCGAGCAGCCCTATTTTAAAGTAGTTATTTTGAGGGCTGAAAGGGTGTTTCTGACATTGAACAGCTGAAGCCTCCAGAGGGACCAGTCACTGAGTGGATCATAGACTTCCCTTATCCTGGGAAAAGGTGACGGGTAAATCCCTTCGTCTCGAGGTTCACAGGGAATTGTAGTCGAATGCTAATAGGGTATTAATTCGACTTGTCAGCATCCCGGTCACAGCCCTCCTCACCTCTGTGGTCATACACCAGCAGATTGGGATTTAACACAAATAGAGCGTATGGGGAGTTGGAATGAAAGTTTCTTTGAACCCTCCACAAACTTATTTCGTCTCTACCCAGGTCATAGAATTAGCTTGCTCACTGACCCTCACAGGACAAAATGCAAACGTTATGCCATGGGGCTTTGTTGAGGGGGGGTTCAGCCATCCTGCCTCGGCTGTCAGCAGCTATTAATTCAGCCTCGATTAGGCCTGGCTTTGTTTGCAGACTTGAGAGAGTGGCTTTAGCTTAGCGTTGCAGCGATGTGTTCTTCCGTCAGTTTGGGCGCCGACTTAACAGCCTGGCAGGTGTAGGCCACAAATCCCAGTCATGAGTAGTGATAAGTCAAACAATGCGTTCCTCCAAGGGTCCTGCCAAGTCCTCTGTGTCCAAAACCAGTTAACATGATGCTGCGATGGGCATTGTTGAAGGCCCGGGATGAAGGTTGGAAAGGTTCCTCTTTTTTGGCTAGTACATGTAGGCTGTGCCTGACAGGATTATACAGCACTAAGGAATGTTGGAACTGAATGCCTTTTAATTAGGCAATTTCATCTAAGGAGGTAGAGGCCTGGCCAATTCATCAACCAAGCTCTCATATCAAATCTGTTATTTATTAAAATAATTAAAATCAAATCTTTGACAGGAAAGCCTTTGTACATAAAGCATCAATTATAAATCCCAAGGTGCATTGGGCTCAAAACATTGAATTACCAAGCTCTGCTACTTGGACCATTATCTGGTGGAAGTTGAAGATAACGCTGTTGAGACAACACATTTTACATCTGCAGTTTATATCAATTTACTCTTAATGTACTCTAAACTGTGCACATTTATCTGTTCCTAACGGCAACAACAAAGTGTCTTAAATTAGCTATTGTATTGAATTGCATCTCTGACGTGCCGTAGCAATGGAGGATGAAGTCTCAGAAGTATAGACCAGGGGAGTCAAACTCAATCAGCATTACGGTTGCCCTTGTAATGGAAAAGCTCTGGAGCAATGGAGTCATAACACAATGGAACACGGGAGAGCTGCAACTTGATTGCAAACAGCTGAAGGTTTATTTGAAGTTACAGCCGGAGAATTGACAAAGATATTTGCTGCAGCCACGAGGTGACACAGAGGTTTCCCAAACCAATTCTGAAGAATATTTCCCCTAGTCAGAGATTTGAACTAGTTCAGAAATAATAAATAAACATTCTTCATACTAAGACTAAACAAGCAGGGCAATAAAACTGTTTCTGCAAAACTTAAGGGACTTGCACATCTGATATGCTGGACCTCCAGGGCCCAGGAGCTCAAAACTTGTAATCCCTATCTGATCAGCTCAGATTTAGATTTTGGGGAGTTCAAAACCAAAAAACAGGATTAGGATCACTTTGATATCCGATCAGATCAAGAAATCCAATCCAAGCTTTAATCTGGATCAAATCTTCAAACCGACAACACAGGATTGGGATCAGTTTGATCCCAAACAACTGGATTATCCTGATCCCACCAGAGGGGTGGGTTTCCAGTGGATTACCAGAGCAAAATGTGCTGTACAATTTATTTAAAAATATGTTTCAATATAAATAAGATGGCAAAGTTTGTCAACTGAAATAATACACCATTTTTAGCCTTCATGGGAAATACATTTTATTTTTCCATTTTTGCTCACGTTTGTGGGGGCCTATTTTGTTTTCAACCAAATGTTGATGACATAAATGTTTATGCTCATAAAAGTATCACAACAAAGATTGTCAATCACAAATGTAATTTAGATTATCTTCAACAACAACAAAAGTCCATCATCTGTCATCACCTTTCAAATGAACAAATATAGACATTATAGATGTCTCTGCAATGTAGTCTCTTGTCTTCCATGTATTATTTTTCATATCCACTAGATGGCGATCGGTAGAATTAAAAGGATTAATTTCAAAATCTGATTGAGATTAAAAGTGTTGAACTCCTGGGCCCATGTGTCCTTGGACAATACATCTTGTGTGAGATTATGATTTAACTGTCAATAGAAAGAGCCAGAGCTGCCTCTATGTGAGAGAGATAACAGCAACTCTACAGGGTTCATGCCTGAGCCATGAGAGACGACAAACAGAGGTTAAAGAATGATGATCTAGGTCAAAGGCTAACACCTAAGCAAACATTTTGTAATATTCCGTCCCAGTAGTTGGCATCGTTAGGGCTCCCTCGGCAAAAAGCCAGCGCCATTTTTCAATCGGATTTTTGCAATTTTGCAAACCTGTCAAACACACGTTTGACACTTAGACGTTTTGTCCAGGACAATCTCCACATATTAACAGCACATTTATACATAAAGCGAAATGCAATTGAAGCTAAATGCAATCTCCAAAAGCAAATGGCTAAAAGTAATTAGCTATCAACAAACTTACGTAATGTTATAAAAAGTGTTTTGCTTACTAAAACGTTTCTGCGTTTGCTTGTGTCTGTCTCTAGGGGTATCGGGCAGGTATTAACAGACTACGTTCATGGGGACGCAAAGATCAAGATGACCAACGCCGGCCTCTTCCTCCTGTCCACGGTCACCTTCGCCGGTCTCTGCTACTTCAACTACAACGACGTGGGCCTCTGCAAAGCCATCGCCCTGCTCTGGAGCAAATGAGTTAACTGTGGAAGCTTGGAGGACCGAGACACCGGGAGAAGAGAAATCTTGTCCTGGCTGATTGTAAAAAATTGAAGGTGTTCTATGTAAATTGTTATAAATATATCATGTTGACGATATAACAGTGATTCACAGGTGTGTAACTGTAATTAGCGTCCATCAATTCAGGCTTGGTCTCTGTTTTAAGTTTTCCGTCAACAACTGGCATCCATTTTCTCTTCTAAAATGTGGGAGATATTCAGATCTTTTAGTTCAATGTGGACTTCTAGCAACGTTCCCCTGTAGATTTTCATCATAAGCAACAAGAATAACTACAAATAGGAGCTACCAGTTTCCTCGCATGTAATCGTTATATTTACTGGGTACATGCATAAACCGCTACAACTTCAATTAAGTCTTACACAAAAGTGCTGTCTGTTCGGGTCTTGTATGTTGCTCATTTGTTAAATGTATTTTCTTTCATTCACAATGTGTACATACTACCTTTTGCTCAAACTCATCAGGGATAGCATAGCAGATCTGCGCGCCCTCCACACTAACCCCCCCACCAGGAAGATCCACCTACTGTTTCTTTTGTTGCTACACTCTTAGCCTTTCCCTCACCTCGAGTTTCACTGTATGCTGATGACAGACCGCTGTTTGCAGATCTCCAGCTGTTTGTTTTTGTTGAGAGCAGACTGCCTTTGCTTTCGTTAGCTAACTGCTGCCCTATTGAAGGTTCATTAAAGATAGGCAAGAACGGAAGTGCATCCTTAAATCAAGCCAATCCTACATCACCAACACAATGGCTTTAACGTTTTTGCAGCGTACAAAAGTATAATTCACACGTGGTTTCTGCAATGAACAAAAGAACGTAGCATTACCGCGCCTGTAACTTCATTTGTTGAGTCGTACTTCATGTACAGTATGGATTACAAAGCGCTTCCGCTGTAAGTGAGCAAACGACAAAATAAAAACATGTCGAACTTGAAAATATTTCACACAAATGTATTGATGGCAGTTGTATTTATTTATTACCTCTTGGGGGGAAACATAGAAACCTCATTTCACTGTTCCTTCATCAATGTGAGCCTATATAAGATTCAATATGGCTGACGAATCAAACTCCTTCATTTATTCCAGCTATAATCTTTAGTACTGCTTGTATGGGTGTCGCCGGTTGTGTTGGCTTTAAAACCGGTTTGTACTTCATTTGGTTGTCTCAATGCTCACGCAGTAAATGTTTGAGAGCTTACACGTTTTGTCTTGGTCTGTTTGATTCTTCCAAATTGTTCATTTGTCATTTCTGTGAAATTTTTGTTCAACTTTTCAGATTATACGCACAAAATCCGATGTGGCAAGAAAAATGCACTGTTCCTGCCTCAGCAAAATAAAGTTTGCTTTACAGATGTTTTCATATTTTGACATTTTATGACCTAACAATATATACAATGACAGAGTACAAAAGGTATGGAACCATATTATAAAACATTCTGATGTAATTTATAAAAAAAAAAAACATACTTCATTTGATATTGTAATATTGTAATCATACATTAATTACAATACATTCAATTTATACTCCGGCAGAAACTAATGCAGTAAACAAGCTGGTCGTATCTAAGGTACATCGTTTATTGAGTCCATTATATTACACTGTAATGCATCAACCAAACTGTTCAATAGTACATCAATAAACTCAAGCTATTAATATAATGCAACAAACCAAATGCATGTCTTTGGGGGGAAATGCCATTATTATATAAAAACAGATTTAAAATGTTTTGAAATAAAAGAATGCAGTTATTCAATAAGAAACATGTCTTAATATAACACTAAGAAAATACATGTTCAAATACTATTTCAGAATTTCCCAAATTATTTTTGATTTAGATATTAAAAACAATATTTATCATGATTATTTTAATATGCCTTTGTGGTTTGATACTATAAGACTTGTGGGTCCCATAAGCTGTTATTAAATTATTAAGTTCTCAAAAACAAGGTAAAGTGTATGTAACAGCACATAGGAAAAACAATTACTGCAGGTAGTCCCCAAAGCCATTCACCCTTAATGAGACAATCAGGGTGGATTTTTTATGATTACATTTTGAGATCGCTTTTGCAGTTACACACACGCCACTCACACTTATTATCCGGTTCCTTGCTCGTCTTTAGCACCAGTTTATTCAAGTTAAGGTTTGCATCGAGCACAAATCCCAGGTATTTATTCGGAAACTTGGAGGACCGAAACTTGTACATGTGAGATGCTTGGCTTTTTTCCATGTAGAACAATTTGTCGCTGGTACTTTCATCAATCTTCTTTGGAAGATCCTTCAATTGAAAGAGACACAGCAAACCGGATTTAGTTATGCATTCAGTTAGTTGAATAGAGTTGACAGAATGAAAAGCTGAAGGAGTATGGGATAAATGTTAAGGGAAATGATCATTTGTAAATCAATGACTCTCCCAGTGTTCCTGTTTTTCTTGACGGAAATTAATTTTTTGTCGCCTTACCATTTGAAACACTACCAACAAAGGCAGCGGTCATTTTTAAAGTAATTTTACTTTTTGTACTTTAAGAATATTCCCAAGCCAATATTTATGTACTTCTTAAGTTTGATTTCAAATGCTGGACTTTTACTTATAACGGAGCATTTTTACACTTTAGTATTGCTACTTTTACTTACTGTGAGTAACAGATCTAAGTACTTTTTTCATCCCTGGAAACAACAAATGAAACCTGATCACAGTCAAGGAAGAGAGTGGATCTTCACCACACATTGTAAATAACTGTACATTATTTGTGAATACTCACAATTTGTTCAGAAGAAATACTATCTTGCTCGCAGCGCACCACCATTTTATCGCCACCGATACTCGCATACAGCATGATTGGCCTTCCCTTTGGTCCCCCATCAGTCTCCATGTCATTGTAATTCTGGATTTTGAATTGGCAGTCTAAAAAGTAAAAACCAGAGGGCAAGAAGCAAGAGGAAACAGCAGCACACTGTGAATGATGGAGGATCGTTGTTATAGAAACACAACGATTGACATCTTTGAGAATACTTTCACAGTACGACCTAATGTATTGTGTTTTCATAGGCTTTCTACTGCTAAGCCGACGATGTCCAACTCTACATTTCAACAAAGTCCATCACCACCAACTGCCTCACTGAAATAAAATCCTGGATGTAAAATAACTTCCTCAAACTCGACTGTGATAAATCAGACATGCAAGACATCGCTCCCAAATCCCTCAACAAAAACAATCATAACCTCTCCATCACCCTCGATATTTCCACTCTGTCTCCCTCCCCACACATCCGCAACCTCTGAGTCATTTTCAACAGCAACCTCTTGAAAACTATATTAAGCACATCAACAAAACTGCCTTCTTCCATCTGAAAAATATATGGCCGTGATGGCCGTCTCCGGCCATCACTCTCCTTCTCTGCTCCACTCTTGCAACTATGGTCTCTGGAACTTACTCCCCGAACACATCCGTGACTGCCTTTAATCTCAACAAGTACAATATACTTAAAACATCAAAAGAAATAAAATAGTGCAAGTAAAATGCATAAATAATTAAACGATATACAGCACATCTACATGTTATATTGAGTCAAGTAAATACTGTGTCGTGGAATAAAACAGACCCTGAAGATAGCAACACAAGGGCTCCCTAGACAAAAAGGCATGTTGCAGGAAAAAGGATCTGTGGCTAACGCGCATTTATGATACTTACACATTTTGTTCAGCAGGATAATCCCACATATTAACACTACTTTGTGATTTTTCACAGCATAATTGCTATCGGCAGAAGTAAAAAGCTAACCCTATGAGTCGCATCACTTGAGGTCAAAGACGATCTCATTTAGTCACCGGTTCGCTGTTCTTAAAGTGGTCAAATGCTAAGTCATTTCCAGGGTTTAGGACTCATTACCACTCACACAATATAAATATAAATGTAGACTGGAAACAGATTGTGTTTTATGCATTCGGTCTTGTGTGAATAAAGCTTCTTCTGCACACATTGCGTTTCATATAAGGGTGTTTGAACTAATGTAAGACATCTGGCATACATTTGTCGTCTTTTATGGCTGACCGCAGGAATGTTACTCATATCTAATTCGAGGAGGGTTCAGCTCTTCACAGCTGGACATGGTTAGCAGTATATCCTCATTGTATTCACTGTATTTCCATGAGTCCTGTTAGCCAGTAGGAGCCAACAAATATTCACTCTCTGTTCCAAGAGTAAAAACTAAACATGGAGAAGCAGCGTTTAGCTTCTATGCCCCGACTATCTGGAACAAACTCCCTGAATCCTGCAGGTCCGCTGCAACTCTTAATACTTTTAAATCCAGACTAGAAACATATCTTTTTGTCGCTGCATTTGAGTGAGCTGTTTATATCTGCAGCATGGTTTTTATTCATGTATTCTATACCTGTTGTGTTTATTTTATTATCTTTGCTTTTTAATGCCTGTTTTTAAATGCCATTTTATGATGTGTTTATTCTTAGATGTCTTTTAATTTTAATTTTTAAAGCACTTGGAATTGCCGTGTGCTGAAAGGTGCTATATAAATAAACTTGCCTTGCCACCATGAAGCGTTTTGGAAGAAAGTTCATTTTTACTTATATTTCCAGATACTTGTTTCTAAATGCTGTAAGTGTCCATATAGATGCTAGGTTGATATTTTTGCAGTTGTAAATGAAAATGGATCCCTGTTTATAAGGGTTGGATTAAAGTACAATATGTTGGTGTGTTGGTTGCATCTTACCAGGCTGATTTAGCTGAGTCTTGTCTAAGTTTTTCACTTCAAACTGACTTTCATGAAAGAGCAGGAATTGGTTGGACTTGCTTAGGACCCAGTGTATCTCGGGTTCCAGCGGTGACTTTGCGAAACCATCTTCAGCCAAATCTTCACCCATCTCTTTGAGAGAAAAACATGTTATATCAGCAGCAACATCAGTTGAAAAGGAATGCAATGTGTATTCAACAAAAACAACTACACAACCATTTTCTCACCTAGTGTTTCTGTCATGTGTGTGGTTGAAATAGAAAAGGGGAACAGAAAAATATATTTCAGGATTTATTTAGAAACATAAAAATTATAGTGATTATATCAAAAATTATAGTTCAAATATTTTAAACCATATAAAAGTAGCAAGTAGCTACTGAGAAAGAATAAAATCACATTTACCTTGAAAGTAGAAGGCATCATCACAGGTATTCACAAAAGTAACATGGGAGTAGTCACAGGACGCCATCGGGAAGACTTGGTAAAAAAAAATGTCTTTATGTTACAATTGTGTTTTCTTTTCTACACATGGTGGTTTAAGATGTAAGTGCAATATAAATAAGAGAGCGGAAACATTTAATCAAACAACTTCTCCAAATGTTGTTTCAACACAATTCTTCAGAACAGATTTACTGCTTTTTATAGATGAAGTCACTTCAGTTAATAACATTTGTTCTACCAGCATGATAAATACATCAACACATTAATAATTGTACTCATCAATAACTGGCATACTTGTAGCCTATGTGTGTGATGATAGCGTAACAAACCTTTGAAGATGCAGTGTGCTCTCAGACAGTGTGTATAACCCCCTGTAGATAAAGACGAAAAACAGACATTAAATTGTCAAATAAAAATAATTCCGTCCTGCCAAAACGTCGAGCTAAAGCCACCTCAACATATCAGCACGTCACCTGAGTCAGACTCGCCGCACCCAGCAGCTCTGGAAGTGTTGAACAAACTGCTCCCGCGCTGTGTCTGCGAGACAGGGGGTGTTTATGTCGAGAACGCTTGCTTGGTAGCACATGTCTTCCGAGTCAGTAGGTTTGTTTGAGACAAGCGAGACCGACGCAGACCTGCGCAATTGCGATCAACGTCTTCCTAGCGCGTTGCATGATGGTTAGTCATTGTGTCCGACTTGGGGCCCTTCTCACTTCTCTTATTTTTCATTTCCTCGCTCCTCGGTCTCAGTCTCACCGGAAGTTGATTTGTCTGCGCCATCTTGAGTAGCTGGGAATCTGCTCTCATGTCAAGAAGCATGAGATCAGTGCATGCGCTGCATCGTCCAATCAGTGAGCGATACACAGTAAGGGGGCGGGGCGAGTGTCTGAGGATTTCATCGAAGGATGGTCTGGTGGTTCCTCGGTTATAGCTCCTCTATTATCGCTCCTCGCTCCTCGGTCCTCCTATTCCTTGACCTCTGAGTGAAACGTCACGGGGTTAAGGGATAGTGGATAGGAGAATTCAAAAGGATTTAGGAGAAGAGACTGGTACTTTAGAGAATCCGAATGCACTTTCACTATCCGACGTGTTTATGATGCGCCAGCGGACGTCATGAATGTGCGTCTGCTGCTGTGGGGAAACTATGGAAACTACAGTTTTCTATACAGCGGACTACAACATGGATGTATAATAAGAACGAGGGACTCATCTAGAGACTCTGCAACATGCTCTGATGCTGTTGCTTTGCTTTATGAACGTGGACAACAGAGAAACATATTCTTCATGACCAAAGTTGGAATTGAAATAAAAAATGAAAGTGAAACTTATGCTCGTCACCCTCTCCCTCCGGTCCACATTAATACAAATGATCCCAATACGTATGATTGTATGAACTATGAAAAGATCTTAAAATCAATACAAATGTATTTATTATAAACGTTAGTCCTTAACACCTATCACTGTGTACATCACCATTCAAACATCTTTTAAAAGTTGAACAACCCCACACAGCTCAGTGAAATGTTGACTTTATTTGATCATTTCAGTAAAAACTAACGTTCATATTTCTCTTTTTGATTATAATACTGATGAACGTTCAGAACAAAGCACTTTGGCAACTTACCACATACGTTTTAAAATGCTTAATAAGCACCGTAACTTTCATGATATAATTTCTCCGTCATAATCGTTTGTTTCCGTGAACGGCCGACTGTTGAGTGACAGCAAATGCTGCGGCTGCAATGCATTGTGGGGCAGCATTTTCTCCTCTCCTTTCGGTGAGGAAGGTCCAGTGGTTCCTAAGCTAAAGGAGGTTATAAAGGAAGTTTGAAACCTCCTTTCCTATCATTCTAGAGCAGTGTTTCTCAAACTTTTTCATGCCAAGGACCACTTAACCAATAAAAAAAACACTCGCGGACCACCTAACTCCACAAATATCCAAAAACACATTGTTTTTTACAAATCGCCTGAAAATGGTACAAACAAGTGGCCACATGTATGATGAAGGTGTTTATCTGGGCTATATCATGCAATTGAAAGTGAAACTTAAGCTCACTCCATTGCGGAGATATTCCCGCGAGAGTGCGGAAAACTTTAATTAATTAATTAATTTCAAATGTGAAATTGTACCAATATACTCACGGACCACTAGGGGGCGATCACGGACCACCAGTGGTCCGCGGACCACACTTTGAGAAGCACTGTTCTAGAGAATTCGAACGGCACTTATCATGGCTGCCAGCCTGCCACTGAGGGACTTCCGGGTAATTTCACTCCGTTAGGAAGGTTCCTAAGCTAAATCAAATGGACTATTTGACTTCAGCCCAAGGCTCGTCTCAAACAAGCCAGTTGCTTCTGAAGCGAGGCAATAATCCTTCCTAGCCGAGAAGGGTCCAGCTGCAGCCGATGCCGGTGGAGGTTGAACCTGTAGGAAGTTGTAGGAAGTTGTACTTCCAAATATGGTCAGACACGTGAGTCATGCTTTTTACAGTACTACGGCTTCCACAGATGACGTTTTTTTATGGATTTTTTGTCAAAGCACTTAATGTATTCATTGCTATCGGGATGTTGAGAGAGCATTCCATGGAATATAACAAAAAGTGTATCTCGAGCCGGTTTCTCAAACGTACCTACCCCACCTTTAACATCCCGATAGCAATGAATATATTAAATGCTTTGACAATAAATACATTAAAAAATGTCTTCTGTGGAAGCCGAGGTGTTGTAAAAAGCACGACCAATCATCTGAGCTGGATGGCCGACCTGCCTGTCAGCCTTCCATGTGCACAAACCTATATACAGTCTATGGCTGCTTCTCAGGTCGACTATTTTAATTTCCTCGCTCCTCGGTCCTCGGTCTCACCGGAAGTTGATTTGCCTGCGCCATCTTGAGTACCGTCCCATGGCTCTTATTTCTGCCGGAGGACCGAGGATCGAGGAGCGAGGAGCGATAATCGAGGAACCACCAGACCATCCTCCGATGAAATCCTCAGATACTCGCCCCGCCCCCTTACTGTGTATCGCTCACTGATTGGACGATGCAGTGCATGCACTGATCTCATTTCCCAGCGGAGTGAAGAAAATACATGAACCTCACGGGAGTCACTCTTCAGTTTATACCATATTTTGTTTCAATTCCTGTTTCATTTAGTTACACATATGTGATATATCTGAACAACAAAGTGGTCAAAAATCATTTTATTCATTTGTTGGAAACATTTTCATGATCGCTTTTTTCGGTTTACATTTACATTTATTGTTATTTCCATTCAGTCAGTCATTAAGTGCTATTAAAATGTTAATGTGCTACATATCCAAACAAACAAACAAACAAAGTGTGCAATCCAATGAATGTTAATCTAACTGGGTTTTGATAGATAACATATCTCTTTTTCTTCTCTCAATTATTTCATTTCTATTGTGCACTCTAATCAATATTAATCAAACTATTGTTCGTTTATACATTTTAAGAATGGCGTTTATCTTTTTTGAGAATGAGTTCTTATTTTATTTTATTTATTGGGATCTACAACAGATGATACAAATGTTTGTGTCAGTAAATGTGTACTAACAGAGGCGGGGGTGTGTGTGGAAATAACGGGGACAGAGCTGGCTGCTGTCAGACGATCAGCTGTGCAGCGTCATCACAAACGGACGTCGCTTCATGTGACGCTCCGGAGGAAAGGACGTCCCATTGCTCTTAAAACTCATTTCCCTGCTTCTCGTGGTTCCCTTGCGTCCCTCCATGCTTCCCTGGTGGGAGGGACTAAACGCAGGGAAACGACGCAAGTGAGGGAAGCAAGGATTTCATTTAATCGACCTGAGAAGCAGCCTATGACACAAACTCATCTCGTACCCTCCTTGGTCATGTGCGCGTTCGTGTGTGTTGGAGGAGGGACTCTGTAAGGAAGTCTGAAGGAAGGGGCAGATTTGTTCCGGTTGTGTACTTTCAAATTCTAGCGCACTTGAGCTGGTTTCTCCAAAATGATATACCTCACCTTTAACGTCTTGTGGATTTAGATATAATTACAGACTATTTAGGTTCTCGGTTGTTTGTCGATTTGGCTGTTTAGCGCAGTGTAATTGTCTTTATTTTGATAAGTTGTATTTTAAATATTCAATTTAAAGGAATGGAATACATAAATAATATATATGTGTATGCTAACTGAACGAGCATGTCAAGCTAAGAGCTAAGATATATGTATATATCTTAGCTTGACAGATGTACTCTAATTTTTACAAGAATCTGATTTTGTGTAAGTTTTAAATATTCATTGAAGGTGTCTTTCACATTTGAATGTTTATTTATTTAAAACTTGTATTAGTTGCTATAGGCTACTGTAGACATTTAGGCATACATATGTATAATTATATTATTATTTTAAGTGTGGTTTAAAGTAAACTTATATAAAGTTATTTGGTTGAGCCAAGTAACCCAGGTGGATGCAATCAGGTAATTAGGTCAGAGCCTCTGATTTTAGATGGGGTTTGTGGCCATGCTGTAGGCCTGACGTTTAAAATAAATGATCAAATCATACTTACATTTAAATGTTTGCTGCGTCGGGTCAGCCATTCTCCGCAAGGGTTTTTGAAATTGGTCCGTGCGCAAAGCATTGTGGGGATTTTAAGGACGCGAAGTCTACCCATGGCCTTGGTGGAATTCCATGTATGCTGGAGATTGGAACAGTACTTCGGCGGCACTCAATGACGTAGCATCCTTGAAATATTGGCTTGGAAGCCAGTATCGTCGAGATTGAGAAACGGACAGTTTCAGTCCGGCCGGCGTACATGAAGAAACTAGAGCATCACTCGAAGGTGGGTTATTGTGAAGGTAGATATGGTGCAAAATGCGAGAGCGTGTAAAACCTGATGTGAGCACTTGCAGAAAAAAATCTGAGCTTGTGTGCATACATTTACACTAAAAAAATAAATAAAATGTCCACGTAACTGTGAACTAAATTTGAAGTCACAGAAGAAAAAATGAACTTAGTGATGAAATGTTCACTTGCAGAAAAATATATATTTTTAAAATATATTTTCCATTACAACTGCAACTTGGTAAATACAACCTATCAAATCAGTCATTACAACTTTACGAATCTGCTCTGTGGCAGTATAAATCGACGAATCTGCGGCCTTGACTTTTGCTACACTTCTTGTGATGAATGTGTCGCAAAAGTAATTTTCACCTGTAGATGTGGGGGGAGGGAGGGGGGTTGGAGCGAAGGGGCGGCGCTATCAAAACGACGAGGCTCGGGTCAGTCGGAGGCCGTTTCTCAATCGCGAGGATGCTGGCTTGGTAGTCGCGTACTTCCAAGTCACTTCCTTCAGAAACTAAGCAAGTATGCTTCCAAGCCACGGCTTCGGAAAACGAAGAATAATGGAACAGGCTAACAAGTGTGCCACTCTCTCTAACAGTTTCAACATAAACTGTACCGAAAATAAATACCTCACGATGTCTATCTAATTATGAACTTGCTTTACTTTCACGGAACACATTTTTGGTGATAACAAACAAATGTAACAAAGTAACATATTTACCAACACATGTTCTACGCCACTACATAGTACATTTAAATGTGTGCTGCGTCGGTTCAGACATTCTCCGCAAGGGTTTTTGAAATTGGTCGGTACGCAAAGCATTGTGGGGATTTTAAGGACCCAAAGTCTACCCATGTGCAGCCTCGAAATTACCCCCAAACCAAGGACGCGGCCTCGGTGGAATTCCAAGTATGCTGGAG